TCACTGGCACTTTTTGAGTCTTTCTGACTGTCGCTGACAGCTGTACATAAGCATTCAAACTTTGAATAGAATTTCATGAGTTACTTTTAGAGAGTAGTTTAGATCAAAAAACCTTTATCTTGATGATTCCGTGTTATCAAAAACTTAGATATGTGTGACATCTTATTGGAATTTTTAAATTCCAAATTCTTCCAGGATTGTTGAACATTTCTGTGTAAGAGACGAGTCTTTCACAATGGCGACTGTAACTATCATAGAAGAAATACAAGGAGCTTAACATTGTCAGTTAACGGCGAATATATATATATATATATATATATATATATATATATATATATATATATTATATATATATGGCGCAAAACTACCTATTTACATAAGACTGAGACTTGAATGTAAGTATGTGTAGTGGTAAGGATCACAGATTCTGATAATCTAATTAGCTGAGGGTGTTAGAACGATTGTGATCTGAGGATCTACTACGCAAGAAAGGTTGGTATCAGTTTGATATTTGAGAGCTACTAGGAACCTAAAAGTACCAGCAAGGTTGCAACAATACAGAAAATCTACCCAATCATCAGCACTTCTCTCAAAGTCTTTTTATTTGTTTATCTTTATTACATCTTGTCAGTTAAAGCACTTTTAGAGTTTTGAGAGATTTCTTTTACTCATCACCCATAACCAACTGTTTGAAGGACTATTTCTAGTCTTCTAAAATCTTACTGTCGAATTTGAATGCACACTTTCAATGGACAAATTCTATGCCAGTTCAGACTACAGACCTTGTTAATAAAAACAGTAGCAGTCTGAACTATGGATGTTTATTGTATTTTTGATTCTTCACTTGATTGTATCTGGCTAACTTAGTCTGCAAAGTACTCTTTGGGGACAGAACATTTAATAACCAGTTTCGCTATCCCAGTTGAATAATACTGTTCAGCTCCAAAGTGAAATGCGTACTATTTGATTTGATTCTAGTTAGAATTCGAGTTTATACTAACAGCAAACTTTCATAAAACTTGAGATGGTTGTGATATACACTGATGCGTAATTATAGCCTCTGCCTGTGCACCGAGAGTCTACAGTTAAGACAATTTATGAGTCCTTTTTATCAAAAGCTGTAAATTTTGTTATGTAAAACAAAATCTGAATGCATAGTCTGATTAGAAGGGTATATCAGTGTTAGGGCAAGAAGGGTATCCAATCTGGAAAGGTATTTCGGAGGTAAATATGTGCACTATTCTGGCAAATAGATGATGCTGATTTTTTCTTTCAGTTTTGTTGTAGATAGATTAAATCAATCACTCATTTTTAACATTGAGATTTTGAATACTTTATCGATCCTGGGTTTTTGTTCTCACTCGTGTCTTATACAGCTTTCTTTTTACACAACTTTCTTCTTCAAGTCATTTTTATGAAGTACAACAACTTAAATAGCTGAACTTTAATACTATGTTATATGTTTTTTTGTCTACTGGCTTACTTGAATAGTATAGTAGTGGTGGTTATGGTTGTTCTGTAACCTGAAAGTATGAATGTGCTGAGGCTTCATTACAAACATGAACAGGACTTAAACAATCTCTGCTAAAATATAGGTGGCTTTTGGTTACCAGTATGGATAGTTATCAAACAGTGCTGCAAAAATGACGCCGCGGAATATCAGTGCGAATAAAAGTAATGACCGACATATTTGGGACCTTAATTATTATAATTTTGAATTCTATTGGATCATTCCTAACTGTTTTGTGATGACTAGTCAAATTAAAGAATCTATACCGAGGGGGATTGAATGTTAGATAAGCCCAGTGATTGAAATACTATGATTGTTATCTTGTTAACCAATCTGAAAGCTTTAAAACGTCTTCTTCAAAGCTTCTTTCCAACTAACAGAAACGAACAAAGAATGCGACCACTAAACCAGTGTAAACATGATGAAGTTTTCGGTTTTTTACAGGAAACAGTAGAGGTAGTTTGTATGTGTGTAGGTTACAGCGTATTACAAAGGAAACAATTCCAACTTTTCGCACAGAAGCTTCTTCAGGAAATGGTTAGTTATCGTATTTTAGGAAGACGATGTCTATACGAAGAGGATTGGACAAGGAGGTTAAATACACATCTATGAATTTATATATATGTCCTTGATATTTTAATTTTGACTACTTGCCTGAAGATGCTTGGACCAGACTTCAGTGCAAAAAGTCGTAATTATTTCATCTCAAACACGCTGTGACTTACACAAACTATATCTAATGTCAATCTTCTACTCAGCTCCCAATATTTACCATACTATTCAGTCAAATCTTAATCGTAGCTCATGTAAATGGTTTTTGAAGGATAGTTTTGTACGGTTGATGAAGTTGGCTATCATCTACCGAGGAATGATATACGTTTTCCAGGTAGAAATTGGAATTGTTAAACGTATAGTAAATTTTTTTCTAATGCATTTGATTGATTAATACTAACAAAGTTATTCGATAATTAGTCAACGAAGAAAAAAAAATTGTTACATATCTCGATATTATAGAGTTAATATAAAGGATTTCAATGAAGTATATCTTATGGCGACAGTTGATTACACATCATCCAATGATTTGCATTCAAATGACTATTTAAAGAATCATTAGGCCGTGTAAATGATAGACTTACTAATAAAACCATCATCCCATTAGGCCATTAAGCATTTAGCATAAATATAGATTTTGTTTCCTACCTTTGTTTTTCACTTGTATTCAAAATAATCAATAAGTTGCTAGGACTATTTGTTCTATTCCATTTGTCCACTTCTTTAAATCTAGTATTTTATGACTTGTGGCTATTAAAGTTTTCCCTAATTAATCATTCTCAAACTTACTGACAGGTGTGAAATCAGGCTAAGGCTTTGTTTGGTTTAGTATAGTGAGAAGTGAGTGTCTATGTTTAATGAAGATTTGAAATTCCGATCAATAAAGTCAACTGATTAAGTGAGTAGAGTGAGTTTATATGCATTCTTGCAAGAAAATTTGTCTTTCCCAATCTTGAGCTCTTTGAGCGCCTTCGTCTCAGCATTCATATCTAGATTTATATATATATATTTTCAATCATTTTAAAACAGTATTTTAAAAAGATTTCAATTAAATTTTTGAGTCACTGGATTAAAATTGACTGGTTCAGTGAACTATATGAAGGCTGTTCAGGCAAATAAAATATCTAAGGTTAGAGATATTTTTGTTCCAAAGAAGTGAGAAGATTAGCTCCCTTAGCTACATGAATTATTGAAAGATCAGGTTTATAATTCATCTTGTCATATTACCTGCAAGGATGAATTAGTTGTTCCCAGAAAGACTGGATTGCAGTGAGAAACTTACAGAATAATTTGTTCAGGGAGATTTAGAATTTCATTTTATTGAGAAAACTCTCATTTCCATTTGATGGACAGCTTTGCAATGGGATTACTAGCTCTTAGTGACAAGAAACTAACAGACCATATGGAAATATGGAAATGATCGAAAAACCTTTAGTGGTTCTTAATACTCAACGTTGTATGCAATAGGAAACGTTACTCCTTATTAACTTCAAATAAACATAAAGTTCTACAGTATAAGCGTAAAACGTGTACACTGTGATAAGATTTAATTCCATATTAGATTTGTTTATTTGATATACAGCACAGTCATACAGTATTATTTACCTGAAGACGTTTCGAGCATCAGTTAGTGCTCATAATCATATAAATGTAATCACAATACTTTCGACATCTGCAACGTAGCAGATTTATTTAAGGATGTTTGTGAAAATATGGTTTTACACACGTTTAATCCAGCACCAAAGATATGGTGGCGATATGTGGATGACACATTGACTGTTTTGAAATCGAACACATTGACAATTTCCTCACACATAAACTCAGTAGTAGACACAATCTAATTCACTTACGAGGTAGAAAACGAACAAGGAGAATTACCTGTGTTGGATTCCAGGATAAAACGAAGAACAGACGGTGGCTCAGATACTATCATCCAAAGGAAACTGACACATTTTAACAGGTATCTAGCCTTTAAGTCATCCCATCCAGTGTCGGTTAAGACAGGTTTAGTCAGATGTCTAAATGATAGAGCTAGAAAAGTGACTAGTCAGTATAAGGACCTAAACAAGGAAGCGAAAAACATAAAAGAGGTGCTAATAATTAATAATCATCCTTTGCAGTTTATTAAGAAATTCGTAAGAAAACGTAAGAAACGAAAAAATAACCGTGACATGTGTATGCATAACAATAACGACACAAGTAGAAAAGAGTTCACGGCCTCCATTGTGTTACCCTATAAAGAAGGAACATCAGGAACTTTAAGTAGGATTTTGGAATTAAGGCGGCATTTAAACCTACAAAGTCACTCAGAGACTAGCTTTGTCGGCTTAAGGATGCAACAGACATAATTAAGCAAAATTATCTTATCTGCTAAATTCTATGCAATTGTTGTGAAATGAAGTACATGGGTCAGACTAGCCGGTTGGGGTCAATTAGAATAGGAACTTAGCTAAATATGGAATGACAGAATCGAATAAGATCAATAATCTAGAAAAAACTCAGGTTTGCAATTAGTAGATTAACAGACAATCATACAATAGGGTGGGGCAAAACCACCACCACCAATATAACTTGGTGGAGAGAGAGATTGACTACTGAATCTTTGTTTTTCGAATCAATACCCAACATATGTAAGAGGAATGACGCAACGCCTATATCAGAGACGTGGGAAACGTTACTACTAATAAAAACAAAGAATAAGAGGTGGCAGGACTATAAAAATCAGATGTCGAAAGTTGTATGATTACATTGACGTGATTATGAGCACTAATTTGTGCTCGAAATGTCTTCATGTAAATAATACTATAATTGTGTGTTATAAATAAAGTAAACAAATCTAGTAGGGAATTGCATAAAGTGTGTCATCGAGAGAAAAATTTCCATGGCAGCGCATAAATATAAAAAATAATTTAGAATTCCAAAATAACCATCTACCCACCAAACATCAGATTTTGTTGTAAATAAACCATCACGAATCGCTTCGGGTGACATCCACCGCACAGGTAATTTAGGTTCGTTGCGTTTACGATAGTAATCGTTTTTATATATATCTCGTGCCAATCCAAAATCACACAGTTTAACCGTACGTCCACTTGAATGGTTATGACTAACCAAACAATTCCTTGCAGCGATATCTCTAAAAAGAAATCCGTTTAGAAATCACATGCTGATATTACCATAATGACAAATTAGGAGGGATGTGAAAATAAATAAAACAGTCCGTTAGTTTACAAAATTTATAACTACTAGGAGAGGACCTGCTTGAAAACAACAGTTGAATGCAAGTACATAAAATAATCCATTTTATAATAGATAAGAATAGTCATCCAGATATGCGAGGAATAAGACCGTCGATACTAGTTCAAAAAAGGATATAAAAGTTTGGAAAAGCAAAATAACTGATAATTTAGATGACAGACTGCTTGAATTGAACAAAATTTAACTCATTTGTAGAAAATAAATTCCACAACAGTGAATTCACTATTTTTAAGAATAATTGTCAATGAAAAGTTGATTTCATTAAAAGATGCATTGCTGCCACCCACACACCTTACCTCTGTAGGATGAGGTTTTTAGACAGCTGATTTTCCTTATCGCAGAGATTTTCAGTCGCCTGAGGAATGATCGAAATTTAGTTTATGGTACACGTGCATATCTCATGCATTCAGTGTGTCATCTTTTGGTAACAGGATTAAAGTCAGATATACGGTGTCTGTAGCTTAAGTCTTTTAATGGTGTACTACTTTATGTGAATTAAATAATGCGTATTAACCCTAAGGCATTATGAAACCTTTCCACCTTTATTAAAGTGAAGGACGAGGAATGCGGTAAACAGTAACCTAATTCAGGTAATCCAACTGACACAGAGGCTACCAGAAAAAGATTTCTGGAAAAAATTCTTTGGATTATGAGGATTTCGTCATTTCAAAGTAGATCACAAACTGAGCTGCGTTCACAGCACTGCTCAGACTTATCAGTATACAATTTCGGTTTTAACCTGCTGTTTCTGGGATGCTACACTTCCCTTGGAATGACTAGCTGTCTGCAGTAGATCTAGAATAGGTGAAATCTTAAACAGATCAAATCAATCATAGACCAATGCACAACTATTTTACATCATTGATGGAATTAGTCAGTGATAAATATTCGAAAACAATACACTAATAGTGCACATAGTTAGTGGATGTTGTTGCATACAGTTGCACAAGATATATGAGCTACCTGCTGATGAATGGATATTCGTAGCACTTTGTTATTTGTTACATCTGTAAACATGTTATGGGAAAGAAGTGAGTATTTTTGGCCATCTGGAACGATAGGGAATACTCTCAACGTCGATCAGGGATACTCAGATGGAGTCTATCTAATATGGAATCTGATTAGCATAAAAATTTCATCGTCTGGCTGGACACTATTGTGTGTAGATGATAAAATGTTTTATATTCAAGTTGATACTGAAATACTTTTCGATCAAAATAAAGCATTCATTTTGATTAATACACATTTAGAATGAATGTTAAACAAGAAACATCAAAATAGTTGACAGTGTGAATACGCGATTGGAGTAGACTAAGCTTGAGCTGAAATCAAAAGATGAGTTGTTCGTAACAAACTGGTAACAAATTAACAGCGAGGAAGGCAATATCATTCAAGATAAAAGTTGGTATCTGAGGCGAAGGTCCGCATAATAAGAATTTATCAAAGTTAAAAATACAGGAGATAAAAACAGCTAGTTGGGATTAAGGTTATGTGAACTTTCTACTAAATAAACTGATTCGGATACTAACTCCTAACCTTATATACTACTCCCTTCCTCACGGATGGTTCGATTACGCATCCTTCATTTCTTGGTTTCGACTTTCTTCAAAGTATATCATACGAGTTCATCAGAGGGTTGAAATGTCCCGAATTCCTGAGGAGAAGACTCCCGCCAAATACATTGATCACAGATCAACCTAGACCACAGGAGTCTGGAAGTATACGTTAAAACGACTTTATTTTGCTCAGACAGTAATTACTATTTTGAACATTTTATCAGAAAACAGCATTGGTGATATGCCAATAGATTTTGACAAGTTACTTTAAGAGACAAGAATTCGTAGAGTTCTTAATAAAGCATTCAGGTTTGTTCACTTTTTTCATTCCAAACTTTGAATAACTTTCTTTAGTCATTTATGGTCAGTGTTTATAACCATGAAAGCATATTAGCTCAGTGGCAATTAATGTCCACAAACTGTAGTATCAAATAGCCACTGGAAAAGAGGTAAGACATGTAATGAACATTCATGACAGTTGTCTGGAATTCAGAGATCATTTGCCAGCATATCACGTCGGTTTTTTAACTCAATCTCTGTTTTGACTTGTGGACACAAGAGCTAATAAAAACATATTTAAAATACTAGTGGTAATGTTTCTGAAGAAATTTCTTTTTTTCCAGATTTCATTTAATAGACATCAAAAAACGGCTAATTTGTCTTTCCTTCTAGTCAGTATATCCTGAGATTCAGTTATTATTATTACTCAATGTAGGGATGAAATGGCAGTTGATAAACTCACTCTCAATATCAGAGAATGAAATTAAAACAGAGTGGGGATGCACATCATAGAGGCGATTGCAATCCACCTTTACAAACCTGGCCTTTGTATCCAAAAGAAGTTTGCTCAACCACTTTCATTACAGTGGCCGTCAACATGATGTAAATTCTAGGCTTATTTTGTGCACATCTTCCCCTTCTTGTTTCTATCAATATTAATATTGCTTATTTTCGTAACTCTATAGATTATTTACATCATTATTTTCCGAAACACCACGTGATTGGTAATTTGATTAAACTGTGAACCTATGTATTAGTGTAGAGCCCAAGATGAAGACCTAATTGAAAAGAAATATATTTCTTCGCTCAATTAGTCTTTTTTTAAATTTTCCAGAGAGAAATAAAAAACAGTGCAGTTGTTCACCACTTTCTGCACTAGGATAATTACCACGATTGTGGTATCGCTTAGATTCACTTCAAAGTTAAAATAATATGGTTCTCTTGTTCAAAGTCTTACACTTTTAATGACCGAGGTGTTCAAGTAAGATCTGGGACGTATTTACCAGCCGTCAACTTTCAATAAAAACTTCGATATTAAGGAGGAAAGATGAAGTAACTTAATACAGTTCAGATGAGCAGCTGATGGCTGCTTCTGAAACTCTACTCTAGAGTTGGATAGGCTTTTAGAATTGTGTTTTGATTGGTCTACAATCCATCTTTCTCACTAAGTTGATCAAAATAGTAGTACTCAAAATGTTTATTTTATTAAATCTTCAATCATTTTATCAAAATGAATCTGTAAATGATTGTAGCAAGGAATTCGTTATGCAAAGTGTGAAAATTTCAATGAGACCATATCCTCACCTATGGACAAAATGTTGCTCCTCAAGGTACCGGCACCCGCTGCATATATCTTTCATTATTGCAACCAATGCTGGTAAGTCAAGTTGTGCGGTTAATGTGATAACATTTGAAGCACTCGGTGTTCCACCGCCGGCTGCTGTGCTAGTCATACTTGTGTTCATTGAAGAGCCATCAGATCCTCCGGTTTTTCCAGCAGCTGCACAAATAGCTGCAGCTGCAAAAACGTTAGCTGCTATATCGGGTGCTATTCTGGGCCGTGACCTGTGAAGATAATCTCTTAAGTTGCCTTGATCCATCATTTCTAGGACTAGACATTGCTGTCCCGGTGAATCGAATGAAACGCCAAAGAATCGTACAATGTTTGTGTGTTGATACTTGTGCATTAGAGTCGCTTCACGTTTGAATTCAGCTTCGGTCAAAGACTTACAGTTTCTTACCTGAATAAAGAGAAATAAGGCGAAATTCGTGATTGCACTCTTTTTGGTGCTTACACTGAAAAATTGACTCTTAAAAAGGCGGTAGCTGCTTGAATCAGACGTATTTCGAAGTCCAAAAAGATTTGGACTTTTCCTAGCTTCAATTTAATGAATCCCTAACCATTCAAAAAATTAAATGTAGTAATTGAATAAGCATATTACAAACTGTTTTGGTTTTATTCATTTCAATCATATCATATTAATGTGTTTTATACACATGTAAGTTGATAGTTTATGCTTTCGTCATGGACATGCACTGGTTCATTCCTATCTTTTGAATGCTTTGAAAGAAATGGTCCTGGGAAGTTTATGTGGAGAACAGTCATCTTTCAAAAAGTACGAAAACCAATGAGAAAACGTCGTGTGATAAAAAATCATTTTAATTAGTTCAGTATTAGTGTCAAAAACTGGACATCCAAATTTCCTTTTGAAATGATGTGTTGAAGAACGTGTTAGATTAATTTAACAGACATTGTGAATTACTGAGTCGATGAAAAATTATCTAGAGCCGATATACAAATGTAGGGTGATCCACGTCGTAACCCACTTTCCAAGAAGATCGCCACCATATGTTCTTATTTTTTCAGGGGTTTTCAGTTGGTAATAACCCTTTGATACCTTTTTATAGTCAGTACGTTTTGTAAAACTATCAGCTGCTATTTTTGATATAATCTCACCGGTTTCTCGTCAGTTCTTTATAACCCTAAGCATTTACATATCATACCAAAAAAGAATTTGAACATACTTGTTTGCAATTACACGAAATTAGTCAACAGGAAACGACACGGCTTAACAAAGAGTACAGACATTTGGATAAAGCTAACAAGATATGCTAAGAAACTTCAGTCATTTAGATGTGATTCAACAGAGTTCAAGAAAGTTATTATTATTATTTATTATTATTAGTCCCTTGGGTTCCTAGTGGAACATAGGGCTTCAGTAGCACGCCTCCAGTGAATTCTGTTCTCTGAGATCTTTTGAACCTGGTCCCACGACAGCCCACAAGCTCTCATTTCCTCCTCGCACGACCTCCTCCATGTCACCCTCGGACGTCCAACTCGTCGCTTCCCATGGGGATTCCACTCGAGGGCCTGACGCGTGATGTCCTCAGTCGGCCTTCTCAGTGCATGGCCAATCCATCTCCACTTCCTCCTGCATATTTGTTGCGTGATAGGTTCTTGGTTGGTTCGTTCCCAGAGTTCCTTGTTGCTTATTTTTTCTGGCCATCTGATCTTCAGCAGCGAGCGTAAGCAGTTGTTGATGAATGTCTGTAGTTTATTGGAAATCCCTTTCGTGACGCGCCAAGTCTCTGAGCCATACAAGAGCACTGACTTGACGTTGGTGTTGAAAATCCGTATCTTGTTCCGCATGCTGAGTGCAGAAGATCTCCACACTGGTTTCAGGCTAATGAACGCCTGTCTTGCTTTTCCGATTCTGACTTTGACGTCCTCGTCCGTCCCGCCTGTAGTTGAAACAGTGCTTCCTAGATAAGTGAAGGAGGTTACTTCCTTCAAGTTTCTCCCGTTGACGGTGATTGGAGTTTGTTGTTGTTGTTGATGGTGGTGGTGCGGTATCTTCATCACCTCTGTCTTCTCTATATTCACCTGAAGTCCCGTCTTAGCTGCCTCTTCTATCAACTTGTTAGTTTTTGCCTGCAGATCTTCAAGTTTGTGTGACATCAGGCACAAGTCATCGGCGAAATCCAAGTCTTCTAGGTTCTTTTCCGTAGTCCAGTGTATCCCCCTCTTCTCGCTGCCTACTGTTTGCTGCATGATCCAGTCCACCACAACAAGGAATATCATGGGGGATAGTAGGCAACCTTGTTTCACTCCTGTCTTCACTTCAAAGGCATCACTGAGCTTCCCATTGTGGATTACTTGGCATGTGGCATCTTCATATAGTTGTTGAATGAGGCGGATAAAGGTTTGCGGTACTCCGTAGTATTGAAGCAGTTTCCAAATTACTTCTCGGTCGACGCTGTCAAAGGCCTTCTCAAAGTCGATGAAGTTGAGGCAGAGAGCTGATTGCCATTCTACGCTCTGTTCTATGATGATGCGAAGCGTTGCAATTTGGTTTGCACATGATTTGTACTTCCTGAAGCCTGCCTGTTCCGGTCGCAGTTTTGAATCCAGTGCGTCTTTAAGCCTCTCCAGGATGATGCGGCTTAATATTTTGCTTGCTTTGGGTGGACAGGAGAGTGATTCCGCGCCAGTTCTTGCAAGCACTGAGGTCTCCCTTCTTCGGCAGTTTGACAAGGTAACCCTTCTTCCTACCAATAGGCAGGTACCTTCTCTTCCTTCCACACCTTCTGCAATAGTGGTGTGAGCATGTCCGCTGCTGTTGTCTCTGCATCTGTTCTCAGTGCTTCTGGCGGTATTCCATCTGGTCCTGCTGCTTTCCCCCACTTCAGTAGCTTTATGGCGTTCAGGACTTCCATTTTCGTTGGGGGATTAATGTTCACTTGTAATTCAGCGGCTGCAGGTGGTATTTCTGGACGAAGTGCAGGTGGTGGGGTGGTCGATTCAAGAGCTTCTTGAAGTGGTCGGCCCATCGTTTCCTCTGTTTCTCTTCTTTTGTAATTAAATTTCCTTCTTCATCTTTTATTGGTTTCATCTGTGTTGATCTCTTCCCTGATAGCAACCTGGTTATTTGATACAATGTCGTCAGGTCTCTCTTACCTGCAGCCTGTTCTGCTTCACTTACTAGTGTTTCGTAGAAGTGTCTTTTGTCTTTGCGTGCACTCTTCTTCACTTCTTTGTCCAGTGTTTTATACATTGTACTCAGTTCCTCTTGTCGTTGTTCATCCTTGCACTGGTTTATCTTCTGCTTCACCATCCTCCTCTCCTCTATCAGCTTCCATGTGTCCGTCGAGACCCATTCCTTGTCTTTTTTCCCCTTCCTTCCTAATACTGTTGTGCAGGTTTCTTTCCACATAGCTTTCAAAGACTTCCAGTGTTCTTCCACACAGGTTTCTTCAGGGATGTTCCTCGATATCTCCCATTTTGTCTTGATGGCTGACGTGAAGATGTCCTTTGTAGTTTCATCCTTCAGTTTTTGAGTGTTGTACTTGAATTGAGGTCTATCACCATCTTCCTTGAAGGCTTTTAACTTGATTTGGAAGGTTCCTTGCACTAGATAGTGGTCTGAACCTACATCTGCTCCTCTTCTTGACCTTGTGTTAAGTAGACTGCGTCTCCATTTTCTTGAGATTGAGATAAAGTCGATTTGATTTTTAGTGTGTCCTGGTGTCTGGTGAAATCCATGTCGCTTTGTGGATATCCTTGTGCCTGAACACACTGCCTCCAATCACCAAATCGTTGAATGTACAGAATTCTGCAAACAATTCTCCATTCTCATTCATTTCACCTAGCACCTCTCGACCCATGGTTAGTTCTCTTCCTGTGTTGTCTCCTCCCAGTTTGGCATTCATGTCGCCCATTAAAATTTTGATATCGCCAACTGATGTCTTGTCCAGTGTTGATTGAAGTTGTCTGTAGAAATCCTCCTTTTTCTCTTGATCTGCATTATTTGTAGGTGCATAACATTGTATGATTGTGACCTTTCTTCCTTTTGAGTTGAATCTTGCTGTCATGATCCTGGAGGAGATTGGTTCCCACTGCATGAGAGCCTTCGATGCTCTTGAGGACATCATGATAGCCACTCCCTCAGTGTGCTCGTGGTTGGCGTCTGGGTGACCGGAGTAGATTATTGATTCTCCAGTTGACAGTTTGTAGAGTCCCATCCCATTCCATCTGCTTTCGCAAATCCCAAGCACTTCGATGTTGTACCTTCTCATCTCCTTTGCAATCTGGGCTGCCTTGCTGGGTTCAAACATCGTACGGACATTCCATGTCCCCACGTTTACTTTCGCTTTCATTGAGAGAAGACACATCGGCCAATTGGCTTCCCGAAGGCTTTCACCAACTGGCGTCATTTCGCCTCTCCGATTCCAGCGGGGAATAAGTTTGTTTTCATTTTTTATATTTTGTTTGTGCTTTGAAGTTTGTTTAGCGGTTAGATTTGTTTTACGGGGTAGGGTTGCTAGCCCTATGCCCAACCTTCCCTCTTTATGAGGGCTTAGGACCGGCTAGTAACTAGTAAACTAGTTAACCAGGCGAGGTTCTCAAGAAAGTTATATGCATAGTAAAAAATATTACATTAGAATATTAAAAAGTAGGTGGTAAATAACATATAAAATGTGTGATATTATAATCTGTTGAACACAGCTGATAAAATGGTCATCAAAATAATATATAAACAGACAAAGGTTCAGTCAAAAGAGGAAGAGTAAAGTAATAGACTTTCAGAGCAAAGTAATATTTAACACTCTCTCATTTTCTGTTAACCAACTTGATTTAACCGCAAAATTATGTTTAAGTTTTGTTTGATGTGACGTTTAAATGTTTTTGGATGTTAGTAACTGACGAGAAACCAGCGAAATGAAATGGTACTACTTTATTCTGCTTCAGTTGTTGTTCTTTCCGTCTTCATGTTCATAAAGGGGAACATATATAAGAACTCTCAACTGTCAACTTGCCACTCTAATAAGATTCACTGTAGTGACGTAGATCTAAGAGTCTACCAACAGAGGGTTTTATTAGCTGACAATATTACTGAAAAAGAATGCTGATTCATAGCAGTGAGGAATGGTTACAAAAGTTAAAAATATGCCTACAGTTGCGCTGTAATCTAAAGTTTCATCAGCGGGTCTGTGGTCACAATAAAAGGAAGAACATGGCACTATTTCTGGAGAACTTTGAAAGTACGTTCTGCCAACAGCTTAAAATTGACTTAGCAATTATCAGTTGCTCAAAAAATGCCTGGATTAGATACACAGTATTTTGGCCATATCAAGAAAGTACTGACTATCATTAACCAGGTTTTTCATTTCATTACTCCTTCAAAACTTTTGGATTACTGCGTCATCAGTAAGATTCTTTAGGCTGTGAGTTGAATTTCTC